CTTTCTTCATGGTAGGTTAAGTACCATGGTAGGTAGGAATTGTTTAGCTCACTTCTCCAAATCATTGTTATTTTATCGAAATGGAACTGGTTTTTGTTGACCGTGTATCCTGCTCCTTTGCTGCCTTCATTGTTGTACTTTTGTAGTGAAATGTTTACATGCCTTTCTTTCTTCCTTTGGTGTGTATTTGTGTTGTAGTTACTGTGGGGATTACATATGTTCCGGGTTGTAACACTCAGTGTTGAGCTCGTACTCGTCTAACTTTGCTGATACACAGAGGCTCTGGTCCTCGTAGCTGTGTCTCGACGCTGATCAGTTGATGCCACACCGATTATGTTCTTACACATTCGCCTTAGGAATTATTTAGCGAGAGCTTTTAAAGCCACATTAGTCTTTTAGGTTACGCATAAAACAGAAATGGAGTTATGACCCACAGTTGCAATAACAACTTTGACCGTCGCCCACGTAGGACATCGAAGAGCTTTCTTCCTTCATACAGCTCCAGGTGTCTGGTGTCACCTTATAGGAAGTGACTGTTCTTGCAGGGGAGGTGGAGTGGTGACAAACTCACCCAGCTGTTGTTGTCTACGAGTGTCACGGTGCTTGATGTTACTTGTTCCGTTATGGTGTTTTCTTTAGCAGTACTGGCATTTGACTCAGACACTTCACACTGAGCTGTGTCCCCATCATTTTTTCGAGTCAGGGTCTCACTGAGTTGTCCAGGCTGGGCTCAAACTTGTAGTCCTCCTGCGTCAGCATCCGAGTGCTGGGTTACAAGCATGTGCTTCTGTGCCTGCCTGCTTTCTATCACTTTTAAAGGATAAGTTTTGTTATATATAGATTTTTTTTTCATTCTTCTAGCAGCTCTTTATTTTTTTATCATTATTATTTTTAATGTATTTAGTGCAGGGTCTGCAGGATCTCACTACACAGATCAGATTCGTAGTGATCCTCCTGTTTTCAGCCTCCGAGATGCTGGGATTACAGGCAGGTGCCACCACACCCAGTCTCAGTTGCCATTTCAGTGTGCCCAGAGGGCGGGGCCAGCACGGCCAGCCAGGGATCGAACCCCGGCCTCTGTGTTCTGCCTAAGCAGGCACTTCAGTTCACTGAGCTATCTGGTCGGCCCCAGCAGCACTCTAAATATATTATCCCATTGCCTGTAACCCCAAAAGTATCTGATGATAATTGTAGTCAGAATCTCTGGCATTTAATGAGTCATTTCTCTCCTGCTGTTTTCAAAAATTTCTGTCTTTTGATAGTTTGATTATGAATCTGGTATGGGTCTCTTGGTTTTGGAGTTTGGGTTTTTTGGGTTTTTTTTCTTTGTTTTGTTTTTGGGTTTTTTGAGACAAGGTCTCACTGTGTAGTTCAGACTAGCTTTGAATTGACTATACAGTCCAGGCTAGCCTCAGGCTCATGGCGAGCCTCCTGTCGCAGCCTCCCAAATGCTGGATTACAGATGTGTGCCAGTTTCCCTGGCCGCCACAGCTGCTGCCTCCTCCTTTTCCTCCTTCGTGCACTTGTGTGTGTGTGTGTGTGTGTGTGTGTGTGTTCTTTTGGTTTGGTTTGGTTTGGTTTTGGTCTCTTTGAGTTCATCGTACTTGGGTTTGATGCTTCTGGGATATTTGTATTTAAGGTTTTTTGTCAAATTTGCTAAGTTCTTGGCTGTACTTTCTCCAAATAATCTCTCTCCCTCTTCCTTCCCTGAAGCTCCTAGAGTGTAAATTGGGTCCACTTGATGATGTCTGGAGAGCCCTTGGGTTCTGGTCATTTTTCATCATTCTTTTTTCTTTCTGTTCCTTAGACACTAATTAGCCCCTGGGGGCCTCAGCCTGCATGGCCCAGTTGTCTCCCAGAGGGTGTGTCCATTCATAACAAACCTGAAAAAAATTCAGTATCCAACAATGCAAAACTGGCCTGTATCCAATAAAAATTATCAGACACGAAAAGGGAAAGAAAATATGATCCTTTGACAAGATAAAAATCAGCCAGTAAGAAGGAGGAAGGAGGAAACATAGCACGTGTGACGGAATTAGCAGGCGAGGACGTGCAAGCAGCAGTTACACATATGCTCCTTACGTTCAGACAGTAGGGAAAACGAGCGTGCCAGGGAAAGAAATGGAAACTACTCATAGAAAGAGAGACCCCCAAATAGAACTTTTGGAGGTGAAAAATATAACATCTGGAATGAAATTAACAGTAGATTAGATACTACAGGACAAAACAGTTTATTAAAACCTGAAGACAGGGGCTGGTGAGATGGCTCAGTGGTCTAAAGCACCTACTTAGAACAAGCTTAGCAAAGCTCAGGGACCGCAGTTCAATCCCCCAGCACCACATGCCAGCCAGCCCCGCCCCCTGGTGGGCTGAGCTGGCCACACACACACACACA